CCCCAAAACCCCAAAACCCCAAAACCCCTGTTAGGTATTTATTTTTGAAATATTAAGATTTGAAGATTGGATGAGCAGGAATTTGGCAAGAAAGGGTGCAGGGAATATTAGAAATTGAGGATTTTTGGAGAAGGGAATATTGGAAGAATGGGGTTGGAATGTAAGAGGAAGGGGATGTTAAGTTAGTTTAGGAAAATTCAGGGGAAATAAAGTTAATCTCACTATAATTCCACAAACATCACCCTTGAACTTCACCTCTCACAAAGCATCCCAAACCACTCGAAATTCCTCAAGACCCCCTCAGCCCCAAATCTCCTCCTTTACCCCTCTCCCACCCATAAACCCCTTCTTCGCACTCTTCACCCCTTCCTCTGCCTTCTCCCACGTATAAATCCTAACCATTCACTAAATTTCTGATTCTGATAAACAAATCTCCGTTTCTCAAAACTAAACTAGGTCCGATTATTAACAAGTAGTTAGTACATATTCTTCTCGCCTAGGAGGTCTCCCCCTGATTCGTTGACCTTATGGTGAGGAAGCACCTTCCTGGAATCAGTCCTAGTTCTTCTTGAAGAATCTCTTCTATCCTTAGGCCTGTTGCCAAGTTTCTTTGATAAGCTTCTTCTTGATGTTCTGCTAGAATCTATTCTGAGGCGACATGGACTGAGTCTTTGAGGAGGGATCTGAATATGACTGTCTTATTCAACTCCGTAAGAGGCTGGGTCGTAGGTTACTGGCACTGGCTGAAGGTTGTGGTTACCAGCATAGGGGTTAACTACATTATAATTTTGCTGCACTGCAGTTCCTGGCATCACAAAATGAGTTCTCTTACTATCAACAGTCGTTGGTGTATAGATATTTTCCCCATTAAAAATTTGTTTCTGCTTGGATCTCTCTTGTTGGTTTGTATGCATCCTTTGCAGCTTTGAAGAGTCTTTCCTCCGCAGTTTTTCAAGCTTTAGTCTTCTTTTCCTGTCTTCTGTGATCTTATTGCTTATTGAACTTTGGAGTTTCTTTCTATTGATTCTTCATCATTGCCAGATCAGCACAATTGTAACTATGATGATTATAAAACCTCCAACGCATGAAAGAGGGGTGATCAAACAAGCCTAGGAACTGCCTTTACAAGTTCCAGAGGATTTAGTATCAGACTTGTCCGAGTCCTTGTCTCTCCGTCTTCTGCTGTTCCCATCTCTAGCTGTTTTGGCACTTCTGGCAATGACTTCACCCAGGAGGAAGAAGAGAAGCAGGAAAATCAGCAATTTACTCTTGGTCATTGATTGTATTAAGGGTTAATTTATACCGAAGAAGGATCTAATGAGGGGTTTTGGGATTTGAAGAGGAGGGCTGGGGTATGGAATAGGCTGTTTGAAGGTTGAGATGGATGATTTTGTATTTTATCGTAGTTGAAGTGATGCGGCATTTTATGGAATTAAAAAGGTATAGAGATAATATTATTCAAAGCTTAATGCTACTTATGGGGTTTTGGGGTTTTGGGGTTTTGGGG